GGGGGGGGGTATGCACCTCTGTGGGAGTGCGGCAAAGTGTGTTGGGGGGAGGAGGGGGCTTGTGTGCATCTGTGCCTGTGTTTGTGCAGGCATGCAAGCCCCTGTTTGTACGTGTGCATGCCTGCCTCAGTGGGTATGTGTAGTGGGCACCTGGCCCTGCCTTTCTACCTTCTGGACAGAAGGGAGTGCTTCCAAACTAGGATGGAAGATGGGAATCCCAGTTTCCTGCATCCCTCAAGCCATCCCCTGTCACCAAAAATTCCTTCAAAACAGTATATGAACACATACCATTAAAGACGCTTTGAAATGCTGGAATCTTTTAAAAATGTATTTCAAACACAGCTTTCTTTTAAAAGCATGTCTGATTTATCCTGCTTAATAGAACTGAGGCAATTCATAAAGAGAAAGAGAAAAGACCTGAAATGTTTCATGCACTTCAGCCTGTGCAAAGTGAAACAGCACTTCATTTTTCCCCCTCCAGTCTCTATCCATCTTGCATGATCAAGTTGAGCAAATGGGGAATCTCCTGTGACAGGAAAAAAACCTAAAGCAAAATTCTAGTTTTGTTACTCCTGCTGTGGCCCCTGTAGTAAAAACAATCGCAAGATGGAGAATTTCTGGTATACCCCAAATAATGTGTATTTTATGGTCACTTCAAGTGCTTTGGCTGCTGCTTCTACGGATCCATAGATTCTTTTAAACCCTTGTAACAAAGGCCCTTCTACCCACTCTGAACAATATTCCTGTCTTTATGAGACTTGAACTCTTCCCAGCTTCTCTATTTCCCCCTACATCCAGTACAGGGGTAAGGAAGTTTGGTGCCTGGGGCAAAGCCCACAGTAGCAGCCTGCCCTTGCCACGTGCAGATGTGGGGGGCACACACCGCTGCCCTCTCCCCATCCCCTTGCCCCCCAGAACAGATGGTTCACAGCTCTGTCCCACCCCAGTGGGGTAGTGCCTGCTGGCGCCTTCTTCACTTGGGCTCCCCAGGCGGTCAGTAGCCTTACTGGGATCTATGGATACCGAGAATGAATGACATCTGATTCAGCATGCAGAGCAAGGTACAAACATTAGACTACCGAACGAAGTGTTGGAACAATGAAGCAGTGGAGTATGCGAGTCAGAGAAGCTGTGGAATCTCATTCACTGTAGGCTTTCAAGAGGAGGCTGGATAAGGACTGGCCAAGGTTAATTTATGAATAGTATTCTTACATTTGTGCATGTATTTGGACCAGATGATACTTTAGGTCCCTTCCAGCCCTACTGTTCTTTAAAAACTGGCAAACTGTGTCACTAACCAGATAGTTTTGCAATAAATATGGAGGTAGTAACAGTGGTATAGATGCAGGTCTCCTTGGTGGGTGTTTAAAAAAACAAACAACATTTAGACCTAAAAGTAAATTTCAATTAGTCATGCCCTACAGAATCAGCAAATATCCAAGAAAGGTTAGTGACAGTCCACTGTTAACTTTTTAAAAGGAAATTTCACTAAATGCCCTACAAGTTCTTTTTCATCTCAAATGTCTATTACTTTCTGCAAGAGATAATTATGTGTGACCTACCTGGTTTTACTGAACTGACTTAGTCAAGCCTTGAGTCCAACAAGGGGTCCCTTGAGTCTAAAGAGGTTGAGAACCACTGATACAAGTGCACTGCACTAGAGGGCTGTACTACTTTAGCTAATGTGGTATACTTGAATATATTTGAAAATTTTAATATAATAGTTAAACTAAATTACCACAGTTTAATATTTAAACATCCACTCTATGTGCCAAAAGGGAAAAATAAAGAGCAAACTAAAAGAATTAGGTTTTAAAAAGAGGGCTTGCTGAGTGGCAGTAAAATTATCTCTTCATTGTATAAGGAATATAGAGAAACAAGCATGCAAGAGGGGCAGAGAACCCTCCTGTGGTTCTGGGAAAGATGTTTCAAGAGCCTTGGGGTAGGCAAACCCAAAGAGGAAGGTAGGGGGAATAAAGGAGCTTTCTCAAGCACAGTGACTAACTGGACTGAAGAGAACCTGGTGGTTTGAAGAACAGCCCTACATTAGGCCCAGAGGAGAAGAGTGGGCATCTATGTGAACATGGGTAGGGGGTAATATGAGAATGGGGAAGAAGGAATCTAGCAAGCCTCTCGCAGTCCCCACGTTCTTCTCTGTACATACTGCTGTTTTGTGCAAACCAGCCTGTGGGGAGAGGGAGAAAAAAACAGTGCTCCACTGCTTTGGGCGGGGAGATTCTAATGGATTAATTCTAACCTGTTCAAGTACAGAGGTGCATTATATTATAAGAAGTCTCTTCACTGGAAATGGCAGAAGCCTCAACCATGCAGTCATTTTCAAGTAGGGTGATCAAAACTTGGGGGAGATCTTATGAGGGAATCGTTTCAAAATGTTTGAGTCAAAAGAGACCCTCCCAGGGACCCACTTTTGCTCTCTATTTGAGAATTGGCCTTTATGCGGGGCAATTTTTCTCTCATTCAAGTCAGACAGTGTTTCGTCTTTCATTTCAGTGGATATGGGAGCAAGTCTCTGAAGAAGAGGCCTGCCATGCCAAAGGTGAGAAGCAAGCTGGGTGGAGCATAGGTTTCACAGTTCTTTCCCTGTGTCTCATTGTTACAATACAAACCTCTTCTTCAGGAAGAGGAATTTTGTACAGACAAGGGAAATAAACTGGACAATGGCAACAGCTGGTTAGTTGGAGGCAAGGGAAATAAAAAGGACTCACCATCTGGCTCATCAGTGAATTCCTCTGAGCTGGAAGATCCAGAGGCATCTAAGGAAACCAAGAATAAGCAATGAGAGGAGAGCCCGCAGCCACACCTGGGAAGGCAGTTTTAGTGAAAAAAATTAGGTGGTTTTGACTTCCGATGAATCGGGCTGTACAAAAACAGCTCCCGTGATAAACAGAAGAAGCTCCATGAGATCTAGGCCTTCCTTAACCTAAGGGAACTCAAACTTACATCTCCCACTTTCCAGGAGAGTGCTTTAACCAGGAGGCTATAAGACTGAATTGCTTCTACTCAGTAGTTCGGTAGCTTAGAGCTAGTCACAAGCTGCACTTGGGCTATCTGCTAGCTGTAACAGGACATTACCAATTGAAAGTAAATTTGCTATTTGCCTTTGCAAGTAGCAAATTTACTTGCGATGAGGGAGGTTTACTGCATAGTAAGCATATGCACGTGTAGACACACACGCTTACTTCACAGTAAACTAAGTTACAGTGCAGTTAAGTGTCTCATTGTAACAGCTGATGCACATTTGTGAGCAGGTGATTCCATCTCCCTTTTGGAAGAGGTT